TCTTGGCCATCATTTTTTCCTTTTTCTCTCTTTTTTTTCTTTTTTTTTTCTTTTTTTACCTCCCAAAAGGGGGGCCGGGCCGGCCCCCCCCCCTAAATCCGCCCCTGAGACTGGACAAAAAACTTTGCAGAGGAGCACTATCTACCTTGAAAAAAACAAACAAGGATGGTGGTGGTAATAGTGGTGATGATGATGGTGGTGTTGATGATGATGTTGATGGTGGTGGTGAAAATGGTGATGGTTTAAAGATACACAGCCACATAAAATTTAATAAACTTGAAAATGAAGATAAAAATTAATTGATTTATTGTTCATTTAATAATTATTAGCATCCAATATTTTTCTTACCATTCATGAACTATACCATAAATAATACAATTACAATTAAGAATTATTATTGTTTTATATATTTTAGGAGCTGAATGAAAATGGTGAATTGTTGGATACCCTTGAAAGTTGATAATCTCAACTATAAACTTGTCCTATAAAATGAAAACAGTGATCCTGCCAATTGCAGGGTCCCAAGTCTCGAGAGTCTCTCGAGAAATTGGTGCGGCCTTCCTCACTCCCACAAACAAGCAAGAATCACATGGAAACTAACCGACCTCGCAAATTTTTTTATATCTGTCTCGCGCAAGTCAGTGTCGATGGGATATTTCCATGCACACCAAAAGTTAATTAGATTATTAATTAAGAGAGCTCCAACATAGAACAAACGTTACTCCGACGAATAAAGAAAGGGAGGCCATGTCCTTGGGACCCCTGAAATTGTGTCATATCTGCTAGTATTGTATTCTAAGTATTTAAATGCTGATTGTGTTTTACATTATAGATAAACATAATCCAAACTAGTACATATTGGGAAAGGTTGTGGAACTTATTATTCACATATTCAACTTTCATACAATATATATTATTTAAAGGATTTACAACAGTTAGGCCCTATGTATGGTATTTGTTTAAACTACTTATTACAGTGTAGAGGGTTATCCATTTTCCATAATTTCAACAAGAGTACAAAACATATTCTTGATGGAAGGTGGTTAACAGTGTATGTACTGTTGAAAATGAAAAGATGATAATCTCACAATGATGACAACCATCATTTGATTACAGTATGTACTTTTCTGGAGTAAGGAGGAGTAACAATAAAGAATAATTTTTGTTTTGTACTGTCTTGAAAATTTAAGGAAAAATCGAAATTTCTTAAAGTGTATAATAAACTAAGGATTTAATACACTAATCAATTCTCTTTATATAACACATTAATTTTGAACTAGAAAACCCTTGCAGATGTCTAAGCAGGGCACACATTGTGTAGGCCCTGCTTTCTCAAACTATGGGTTGCTACCCAAAGTTGGGTCGCCAAACACTTCCGGGGATAGCAAGTCTGCTTCTGACATTAAAATTGACAGACTTTGATAAAGTGCATTTCGAAAATTAGTGAAAAATACTGCAAGTGATCGAATAAGCGTCACAGCAGCTTATTCGAGAGCAGAGCTTATGAAAAAATACTGGCGTGGCGCTTTCCATGTCCATTCAAATGTGTATACCATCTCACTTATTTCCTATCATAGTTGGTTCATCGTAAATACAGTATACGTTTATAAAGAAATGTTTGTCTTCATTGTGTTATTCATTTTATATAACACTATACATTCTCAAAGTGTTTCATTACACAATTATATACTCTTGATAGGCGCCGCGTCGCTTATTCGAGAACGGCGCTTAAAGCATCTACGGTACTTCACATCCTACAAAGAACTGGGAATGTACAAGCTTCATTTTTCAATTATTATTTACCTAGTTATCCTCGGCAGTCGACCGCGCACAAGTCGAAAATTTGTGATTATTTTATTGGTTTGCATTAAACATTTCAAAATTACGAGTATAAGTAAACATTCTATAAAATAGAACATTTCTGCACACAATAACAAAATAAATGCCTACTGTTACTTTGCTCAGTAAATAAAAATCTGAACAATTTTCAAACCTACTTTATATTCGACTTAGCCGAGGGTGACTGAAGAAGTACAACAGCATATTCACGGTGGCTGTTTGAGCAAATTTGTTACCATGCCTCGTCACGCTGAGTTCTCCATGGAGTTCTCCATGGATACGCATCAGCCAACCACCGTCGACACACTGTGTGCCTAGCTCTATTGTTGAAGTAAAACATTCTGAATTCAATGTTGGTAAGGAAAATTACAGTATCCCAACTTTATGTATAATAATGATATTTAAACACTAGATGTGTTCAATTGTTGTTGTTGTTGTTGTTGTTGCTGCTGTTGTTATTATTATTATATAAAACAACTACAGTATACAATTATTTTATACAGCTATTCTTGATATGGTAGGCCTATTTCAAGAATACCGTTGTATTAATTGAGAAATCATTTCATAATCCGATAAATTGATCATACAAGCTTGGTAAGCAAATATGTATCTTGTGATGCTAATTCTGAAAATAATACTTACCTTAAAGTTTAACCAGTTTATGTAGTATTACGTGAAGAAAAATACCTGGATCTACGGCGCATAGTCTTCCCGTTATAGGCTGGCGTATGCTAAATGACGTTATAGACACGCTTGCGCGAATTATCATTTTTGAACAAGGAAAAAAACTAGTGTGGAGCTATTTATAGCTCCCTAAATACGTTGTCAGTGGCCTACACATCACAAAGATCTGAGTCGCATCATGCTTGCGAGATGGCCGCCTATGCCTTGCTCACCAACTCAGGTTCGGTATAAATTCCTGTACAGTATTATTATTATTAAAAAAAACTTTAAATAGGTTGGTAATTGGGATGATTTTGAAATACGTTTAATAAGATAATTGAGAAATACTTGGAGGTCTTCGTTTTTCGGTCTTCGTTGTAGACACCCATATTATAGGATGTCTATAAAACAAAGACCCTTGAAAATTTCACAAATAGACGCCCAAAAAATTTCTTAATTTTGATTTTGTGACAGCCTGGCGTATTATGATTAAAATAAAAGAGAAAAATAGGGGTCTTCGTTTTTGGGTATTCGGTCTTCGTTTTGTAGACACCCGCTGTGTCAGTGGACTGTTTATATCCAACACCAAAGAGTACAGGCCCTAGGCAGGATTTTCGATGGGGAGGTGCGTTTTGCAACCGAAGTGGACCTTACGATGGGCGACTGCCTAGGGATCCCCGCGAGGGTGGGGTGAATCTTCTGGAAGCTCTGAGAAATTAACATTTTGATGGCCTTTTTTAATGGATTTCTGAAATCCATAATTGGTAATATCTTATTTAAATTTTCATTCATTTGAGTATTGTCTATGGACCTACAGTAAAGTAGAAGAAATAGAGGGTTTGATGAAGGGAGGAACTTGCACATACTATGGTCAATACCACCTCAACCTCACCATGGTTGGGGCTGAGGTAAGAAAATTTATTATTATGGCACCTCAAAATGGCATGAAATGGCCAAATTTTAATTATGATTTTTCTTTTTTCTCTATTTCTTTTATAATTTTAGGCTCTCTCCCCCCTTGAATCCACCACTGTGAAATTGTAATTTTTCATGTTTTTTTACATCGGTAGGCCTACAAAAGGCATAGAATCTGCAGTCACTAGAGCTGATAATTTCCAACAGATTTCGTAGCACATTATTAATAATCAACAGGTAGAAGAGCTGGCAAAAAAATGTAATGCATAGTATAGCATTTCGCGATAATTAGGAATGATTTTAGGGAAATAATAGGTTCTAAAAAGTGGACTTCTTGAAATTTGGTGGTCCAGGGCACAGGCCTGGAGGGGGCTTGTGAAAAAAGCGACAAAGTAGCATTTTGAGGGTCTTACATAATACTGATTTCTCAAACACATAATTCATGAATATTTCATTTAAATTGTCATTAGTTTGAGTGTTTTTGGGACCTGAAAAGGTAATTATCATGTCTTGTACATCTGCAGGCCTGTAGATAACATTCTTCATGTATATACATCAATCTGCAATCACCGAAGACGATCAATTTCTAACAAATTTCATACCACATTATTATGGATACGGATAGATAAGCTGGCAAATATATAATGCAATGCATTCTATAGCATTTTGTGATAATTAGGAACGATTTTGTGAAATCATAGGTTTTAAAAAGTGGACCTTTTGGAATTGTGGGGGGGGGGTGCGTCTGCTCTTTCTGCACTTTACCATGCCCACTCTACCCCACCATATAGAAAACAATACGACATAGGGCTTATCTTATTTAAGTAGACCACACACGTGTGTTTGAAACTAAATATAAGCATTTTCATCTTAGTTTCATTTAGTACAAACAAATTCTGTCACCATCAATACACATTGAGGACCTTCTTTTAGGTAAAACGGTCTATCTTAAATGTTCTTTCTATTGGAGTTGGGACTATTATGCGTTCAATTAACTTGGAAGGCAAAGGAGGACAAGCGCGATTTTTTTTTATAAATATAAGTATTTTCATTATTGATTTATTTATTACAAACATATTCTTTCACCATCATTACACATTTAGACCCTTCTTTTAGGTAAAACGGTCTATCTTAAATGTTCTTTCTTGAGTTTGGGACTATTATGTGTTTAAATAACTTGGAAGGCTAACCCTTTAAAAAAAACCCCGTAAAAGTTTTATGTTTTTAATTCGTCGGAATTGATCAAGACTCACTAAAATTTGCAATTTTTAGAGGAAATTGACTTATTTTACTAAGAAATGGCAATTTAAGATTTTTAGGCACTTTCAGTGGTAAAAGGAGCATCTTCAAGGGGTGAGGAAAGATTTTCCACAGATGGATATTTTCCCCTTGTTCCCCGCAGTGGTTACTACTACAGAGCTGGCGGTAGAACGGAGGTTATGGACATTTTTTGAAGTGGAGAAAGGGTTGCAGGGTGTTGTGAGTGTGGTCATTATGATATCTTCCTTGTTATCCTTGTCTTTTTTTCTCATCTCTTTTCCTTTTCTTTTTTCCTTTCCTTTTTCACTTCTTTCTCTTTCCCTCCCTCTCCCCTCTTTCTTTTCTTTTATTATCCAGCCCGGGACGACGGCTTGGTCAGCCCGATAAAAACAGTCAGGGGGAAGTCTGCTCCCCTGCCCCACCTCTTACGCCACTGGTGTTTTTATGCAGGGAGTGGTGGTTTATGTTATTGTGCTCCTCTCCTGTACTCTATTTTTTTAAAAATATTTATTGAATTTATGAATAACAACTATCAAGAAAAAAATAATAAATGCTTGCCGTACTGTAACACCATGTATGTACTCTAGTTCTAAAAGAAAATTAGGTGCAGCCCTCTGTATTAAATCAAAAATATACTTTAGCCCTTCATCCTATTTTATACCCATCCCTGCAATACACTTCTTTTAGAACACCAAACATGAGTGGGATGCAAGGAAAAGAGTTACAATTTAATACATTTATTAACAATATAAAATGAACGTTATTCTATAATCATTAGATGTTGCTTGTTTTTTTAAATATAATTACCTATACATATTATCTAGTTACTAATTACTATTACATTGTATCTAATTGATAAAGTAAATATTATGTAACTGCATCTCAACTTTGCAAAGCTTAATGTTTAAACACAATCAAAGCCCATTATATTATTGAGAATGTTTTTAGATGTCATTATTTACCTTTTAAATAGTTGTCCATTGTGTCTTTTACCATGCTTATATTTAATATTATGTACAGGTTAGTAAAGATTTAAATATTTTACTATATTTAAAAAAATAACAATTATTTGTAGTATTTGTTTACAATACTTACAGTGTAAGGTGTTATATATTTTCCCATAATTTTAACAAGAATACAAAACATAATCTAGAGGAGGTGGATAACAGGTGCTGTTGAAAATGAAAAACTGATAATCTCAAAATGACGAAATGATCATCAATTGATTATAAGGTTTACAGTAAAGAATAATTTGGTTTTGTACTTCTTGAAACTTATTGGAAAATAAATATCCCTTATAGTGAAAAGTATATAAAGAATTACTAAATAGTTAATAAACTAATCAATTCTTGTTACATAATAAATTAATATTGAACTACTGTAATTCTGAAAACCCTTGCAGATGACCAAGCCAGTCACACACTGTGTCGTCTAGTGTGAGTGCTGAACAACATGATGTCATTTGCTGATTGTCAGAGGCAGTCTTAGCGGATTGTCATATAAAAAAAACCAAAAAAACAAAACACATTATCCCAACGTATTGTATAAAAACGATATTTAATTGTATTTACTTTTCTTTCATTATGTATTTAATTGTGATATCCAACAGTGTATTAACCGATTACAGGATGAGCGATATTGCATTAAAACTTCAGCAGTACCTTCAATGAGTGGACACTTTCAAAAAAAATTGTCCACTGAACAGGCCTGGGGTACCCCTTACGGAACACAAAACGAAAACAAAAAGTTTCCCCTTAATAGAGTTGTTGGGACAGTCACGCAACTTGAAATTGACTATGTTTAATTTAATTTACCTAAAATATTATAACAAAACCGAATGCAAACGTAATACATTTATGATTAAAAAACTCAACATAAATATGTATTATTAATATTAGTAAGCCTGCGTCAGGCTTTAAATGCTGCCAAGAAACAATCAAATCTAAACAATTTAGAATATTAAGCTTTAAATATTAAACTTTTTACAACTTGATAAAAAAAAACTAATGTATGCCCATATACAGAGGATGTGCCTCTATCATGGTCATCATGACCATATTTAAGTAAGTCACATATTTTTGTCGAATACAATCTTATTAGTATGCACAGGGCTTTGACAGTAAGATTTGGAGTTTGCAACTTGTTTGGCTCCTTCACTAGATGTTTCTAATAATTTCACTGCTACCTCGTTGTTGGTTGTTTCCCAACCATAATACTTAATGTTTTCATTGATGCTGCTACCACATTCTTTGGCTCTAAATGGTAATTAAATAATAAATTTATAATTATTTTAATTAAATTTGGAAATATTGTTGACAACTCTATGCTTGCACACTGCACAGGACAGCCACACCAGGTTTTGTGCAGATTGTAACAGATGCAGATGGGGTCTAGTACTAGGTTTCTCAACCATACTACTTGATGTTTCCACCGATGTTGTTACCTCACTATTGGCTTTGCATCTTGAATATGTTTAGTTACTACTATTGATAGGTCAGATTTCCCAACCATACTACTTGACGTTCGCATTGATTTTACCACTACGTCAGTCCGGAGTTTTCCATCCACGCTATTAAATGTTTCCACACAGATGTTTCTGCTACCACTTCAATGTATGGTTCATCGTATATAGGCCTACCACTTAAAGACTCACATTCATTCTTTCCTCAACCATTCCAACTGAATCTGAGTCATCAATCATTGTGTCAGTGCTTTGCTTCTCAAATCTACTCCCTGAATCTGAGTTATCAATTGTGTCGGTGCTTTGTCTCTGAACTCTACTACATGAATGCGAGTTATCCACGAGTGTGTTGGTGTTTTGTCCCTCAACTCTACTACATGAATCTGAGTTATCTACGAGTGTGTTGGTGTTTTGTCCCTCAACTCTACTACATGAATCTGAGTTATCCACGAGTGTGTTGATGTTTTGTCCCTCAACTCTACTACATGAATCTGAGTTATCCACGAGTGTGTTGGTGTTTTGTCCCTCAACTCTACTATGAATCTGAGTTATCCACGAGTGTGTTGGTGTTTTGTCCCTCAACTCTACTACATGAATCTGAGTTATCCATGAGTGTGTTGGTGTTTTGTCTCTCAACTCTACTACCTGAATCTGAGTTATCCACCATTGTGTCGGTGTTTTGTCCATCAGCACTACTACCTGAACCGGAGTTATCCTCCATCGTGTCAGCGTTGTGTTCCTCAACAATACTACCTGAACCTGAGTTATGCACCATTGTGTCGGTGCTCTGTCGATCAGCCATAACTGAATCTGAGTTATCCTCACTGCCACTAACATCTTGCATCTACAATAATGACTTGAGTAAAGTAATAGGTCATGGCAATCGGAATGCTAATTAGAATAAACACAAAAACAAGAACCCTAAAATGGGCTAGTTTCTTGTTATTTCTCGTGCTTAATAATAATAACTGAGGATTTGTCATATCAGAGATATTCCGAATGATATTGGATGCCACTATAAAGAGAAAAGCGCTTAGGTTAACTATTTTGTCAATACGATTATAACTTAAAAATTCAGACTGTAGAGCGAGTAGAATGATGACCATTCCTTCAAATGTACCAGATATAGAATCATCATTTTGTACATTCCCATTAAAACCAACCAGATATATTTTACAGCAGCTGTATATGAAACACGCAGTGTGTGATACAACATAACATAGACCTATTAAACTCCATATACTTCCGAAACTATCGGCAATCATAGCAACGTAATTAAAAATATTAGTGTTAAAGATGAGGTTGCTGTCCTTGTAACTAATGTAGTTGTGGAATATAAACAGACAGATCCACAAACAGACAAACATTGAAGGTAAGTATGTCTTCCTGTAAATGACCATAAGTTGAGATGCTACGTCGCCTTGCTGATTCATGCGTTGTAACTCTGTTAGTCCGCGTCCGGCTAAATCTAAAAGCGACGGTATACTACATGCTAAATAACTCAAAATAACACACGTGGTAAACCCGCATGACACCACGTGTATTTTTTCGGCTATATTCGGTTCCAAGCCGAACGTGGGGACAGTTATTGTAGGAATAAATGCTGTAAATATCCAGTTACGGTTTTTACTCATCAGCAAAATACAGGTCATAACCAGGACAACTTGTTTCATTAGATAAACAATCATTCTCGGCACAGATGCGTCATCGTTGTAGATATTTTGAGGATCAGAATCTTGTGAACTTGTAATGTAGTCTCTTGACCATCGAATAGATACCCTCAGCAAGATGAAGATCATCAGGTGGATGTAGAGAGACTTTAAGTGGTGGATTGGAAGAGTGAAAAGTACAATGGCAACCAGGTAACCTACAAAAAATAAACAATATCTAATTTAATTCGTTTAAAGTTTAATTATTGGCTGTTAGCAGTCCATCATAATTACACAATTTATTTACCACGTGTAAAGTTATATTATTTTCATTTTTATATCTTCTTAATCATGAAAGCTAGCCATTTTCTTTATTAAAAAAATCGGGCGAGTAAGCCTTCCTTATGTCCAAGTTTTGAATTTGAACCTTATGAATTGAACAGTAAAGTAAATCTCGTGGGTCAGTGGGCCCTATTGCTTACCATACTGAACACAAGAGGTGAGGATGTCAATATCTAAACCAAGATTGTTCACCAATTCGTTTTCTTTCAGGAGCTGTGGTATCTCCTTGTGGTACATAAATTCATATATAAACAAAATCGGCAACCTCAGCAGCCAGGACAAGATTTGTTCCTTCATTTTCACCAACATTAATTATAGGTTTACGTGAACTGATCAGTTTGTCGGCAGAACTGTTGTCTGTGGAAAAATAAACGTATATTTTTGTTTGGCACTACTGTAGTTGAAATGTAAATTTCATATGAATTACGTTATATTAATTACAGGTAATACAATATACATTAAGAATTGTCCTGTAAATGAAACAAAAAAATGGTTAATGAACATAGTACAGTATATGCTTTTACTTGTAATATTCAAACAATGTTGTCAAGATGATGATTCAACTTGTGTAGGTATCCTCATGCGAATAAATATCCTCATATTCATAACGAAGATTTTAGGTGCCCGAGGAAAAATGGCGCCCCTTTCCCGCTCTGTTGAGCTTCTTGATGATGATGTTAAAGTTCAACAGTATCTTCGGATTTTTGCCCAGGCTCATTGGTTCCTCCTTCAGTTCGGCACCTCGACCACGTACCCTGAATGCACCCGTATGGACGCCGTTGTATATGGATGTGGTTTCTACCTTTATTTTATCTCAATAATTGTTTAGTTTGCAAAAATTGAGCTTTTTTTTGGCCTTTTTAGGTATTACTTTGAAGCAGTAGCACGTTGGCTTATTGTCGGGTGCACCCAGTAACCAAATACAAAATGCATTTTAAGGAGGCCTTAAAAACAAACAATCTTAGGGCCTATCTGTTAATCATGAAATTGGTGTTTTACGTTGTTAGATGCAATACAAAAATAAATAAAGCATAAATGATAAAGAAGACACTCATTCCAAATTGATTATACACAATTCACCCTCATGTGAAAGTTGAAAAGGAGATCAGGGGTGGCGCCAGAATTTGCCAGACGAGGAGGCCAAGGTCCACGACGTTGGGCCGATGTCCCCGACGAGTGGGCCGATGTCCCCGACGAGGGCAAAGTGGGCGTGGTCAGGCATCACTCAAAAAGTTTCGAAAATGGTCCAGGGGGCGAAGCCCCGAAGGAAAAATGATAATTTATGGGTTTTCAAGGCCTATTTTATCGATTTTATAGATAGGTAGAGTTTATTAATGGAGGAGAGGCAGACACAAAAGTAGATGGATAGGTGGAATCAAAGTATCGGTATAAAGCCATTACATAGAAGAAAAAGCAGAGTAGAGGCTTTCCGCCTGCAGTGTGAAGCCCAACAACCATAGGTAGTTGGTTTAACAAATATTGTATTGTCTGAACCAATACAATAGTGTATGGTAGGCATAGATTGTCACGAAAGTCTAGAAGAAGACTTATTTCCAGTGGGGTCCTTCTGGTGGTGATTGGACAGTACACTGGGAGACAATCCCCTACTCTTTTCCGAAGAGTGTACTGCGTTCTTTAACGTGCACATGGACCTTAAACGCACACGGGACCAACGGCTTAAACGTCTCATCCGAAAGACGGTGCGCTATTGTAACTTGTACTTCAGCCCTCTAGCTGAAACACAAGGAGAGGCAGCGATGGGAACTGAACCGCTGACCTATAGATCTCCACGGTTCAGCGCACACACAGTGGCTACCACCAGAATAGCCGACTGAGCTAGCTGCTCTCTCACCAACCAACCAATTAACCAATCCAACCATCCAACAGAAGAAAAATGTGCAATTTGAACACTAAGTTTGATTGATTTGAATATTGGAGCTTCTGTGGTCTTTTAATCCTGAGGCATACCCTTCACCCCATTAGGGCTAAGCTAAGTCTCCAGTCGATTTCTTCAGCCTCTGCATCAG